GAGAGCAACCAGCAGGAAATTGTAATGCTTTCTTAATAATAAGCCTCCAGTGGGATCTCCCATCACTTCTGCCTTAAATGGTTAATGATTAAGTCCAAGCCACAGTCAAAGGGGGGGGAATGACTCTCTCTTAAAGAGAGAATGGCAAATAACTTGTGAATGTATTTTTTTAATCACCACATGTGTCAGGAACCCTGGTGGTATAGTGAGTAATGTGTTGGTAGGCTAGCTAAAAGGCATTTCAAACCCACCAACCTCTCCTCCGGAGAGAGGTGAAGCATTCTGCTCCTGTAAAGAATTACAGTCTCATAACCCCACAAACTGTTCTATTCTGTACCATAGGGTCGTTATGAATTGGAATTGTCTCCATGGTGTGAGTTTGCTTTCTTGATGTGTGTAAAGTTTAATCATGACAAGATATATATATAAACACATATAAGGAATTCTTTCAAATCGGTGAGAAAATAGCTAAACTAAAAGGGTCACAAATGTTAAATAGTTTTCAGAAAGATAAAATCTTCACTCTCTAATTAACTGAGGTCTCCCTCAATGGTAACATGCTAAAATTGGTTCAAAGAACACTTGAGGAGTTATCTATTGTAATGATTGAATTATGTCACCGAAAAATGTATTGTCAATCCCATCTTCAATTCTGTGGTTAGGAGCACTGGTGACATAGTGGGTTACATGTTGGGGCTGCTAAATGAAAGATTAGCAGTTTGAGCCCACCAGCCACTGGTTGGGAGAAAGCTGTGGCTGGTCGCAAGATTTGTACTCTCAGAAACCCAAAGGGCACTTCTTTCCTGTCCCATGGTCACTGTGAGTCAGAATCAGCAGTGGGTAGGTATCCTTGTGGTTATAATCCCATTTGGGTATTTTAGGGTAAAAAAAAACATAATTTAAAGAGAAATCATTAAGTCTTTTTTTTTTTAAATTTATTTATTAAGAAAATTATTATTTATATATATATTTTTTTCTTTCTTTTTTAACATTTTATTAGGGGCTCATACAACTGTTATCCCAATCCATACACACATCAATTGTGTAAAGCGCATTTGTACATCGTTTCTCGAAATCATTAAGTCTTAATAGAGACAATGATAACCCAAAAACATAGATAGACACATCATCCGGATGAAGGAGGCCATTGGCACGCGGTCATAATGGCATCCAAGGATTCAGTCAGGAAGCTACTTAAATAAGACATAGAACAGAGGATACTCACAAATTCATGACTGGTGGCAGACCTACATCAGTTACAGTGGGTCTACAGAAGCAGGAAGAGGACCATGATTTGGACACATGCACTCTTGGAAAAGCTTACAAGACCAATACATACAGGCACACCTTAGAATAATCAACCATTTGATATCACAAAGAGGCACTTACCCAAGGGCAAGGTTTAGAAGGGTTTGGAAAAAAGGGAGAAAGGAAAAGAGGGATGCAGTGTATGTGTGTGTGGGAGTGGGGGTGGGGTTGGGGCAGTGGATAAAAAGCTTGACCCAGGGTCTTCTGGACAGTCAGGCTCAACTGACTCGTGACTATTTGAGCCCTAGTACTGTCCATCAAGGACCCACTCAGCCAAGCCCCTGAGACTGTCCCTTCCCCAGGATGGCTAGAGAGCTGGCAGAGGTAATTAACTCTCTAATGCCCTCTACATGAAGGCAAGATTATCTACATCCTTGGTTAATTAATGATCAGAAGGCATTCACTGGAGGCTTAATCTATATGGCGGGGAGGCTTAATCTGCCAACCAGGGTGCTCGGAATTTAAACTCTAATACAGAACCTTAAATAAATAGAATTGTGTTAGTCCGGGTTGATTAGAGAAACAAATTCATAGACATTCATATGCATATAAGAAAGAGCTGTATATTGAGAATCCCAGCCCAGTCCAGATCAAGTCTGAGCTTAGCCCATATGTCCGATACTAGTTCATAAATTCCTCTTTAGACTCAAGCAGCACATGCAATCATGCCGAATCATAAAGATCATAGGTCAGTGGGTAGAAGGTCTTCTGGATCCAGTGGCTGTGGAATCATCTCAAAAAGTTGACATGGGTCTCCGTGTGTCTCCTCCAGCTGTTTGAGTGTCTCAACAGCAGGAAAGTGAAGGAAGAAAGCCTGGGTCTGGCCTCCAGTGAGCTATTCACACCTCCAAACAAGGTCATTAAGCCACAACCTGATTGACAGGCTACACTCCACCCCCCTGGCTCAGTTGACAGGAGAATATGTAACTACCACAAGAATTATATCCCATTTAGTGCCTGACTTTTTCTTTTTTTTTTTTAAGTTTTATTAGCACTTCATCCATATGTCATACAATTCAATACTTCAATCATATCAAGAAGAGCTGTACAATTGTCACATACTCAATTCTAGAACATTTTCTTTTTTTTTAATTAAATACTTTTACTGGGGGCTCTTACAGCTCTTATCACAATCGATACATTAATGCCTGACTTTTTCAATCCACTGTTTTTGAGATTATCATTGTTATGTAATGTGGTTATCATTTGTTCATTCCCATTCCATTTTACTTGAGGTGACAAAGTATATTTCTTTTTACCCAGCAATTCTTCCATGAATTTATCCTTTAGAAATATTCCCATAGTGTGAATACATATGGATGATCACTAATACATTGCTTTTATTATAAAAACAAACAGAAGACAACCCAAATTCTATTAATCAACAATCCAGCTAATTACGTGTGTGTGAAGAAAAAAAAATAATTAAGTGTGTGTGATGGGGAAGAGGCCTGAGAGAAAACAGCGCTCCCTAATAGAAACTGCTGAAATAAAACCAACTCCAGCCCCTTAAGGCCTGAAACAAAATCTTAACAAAAGATCCCAAATCTACTTTCTTCAATAAATTGAGATGTTAGAGGTCGTTTATATAATAAATGGCTTGGCATATTGAGATCATTTAGTTTTTACAAAGAAAATACGTTAAGAATAAACAATAAATTCTGTTAACTCTACTCCAAGTATAAACTATATTCATATACCTGTGTTTACCTCCATTATTTCCACCATCATCGCTAATTTTTACTACAATAATAGTATCCTGCCTGGCCTCCTTTCTTTCTCTCCTACTTATGCATAATCCATTTTGGATCACTTTATACTTTCATTGTTCAGTGAATACTTGTGATGACCTACAAGGTCCTCTGTTGAGTTGGTCCCTTCCTGTTTCTGTGGCCTCATCTCCACACACTCTCCCTTGCTCATTACACCCTCAACTTACCCACACTCATCACCCTTGCCATTGTCATTTGCCAGGAATGCTCAGTCCCAGTATCAACACAACAGACTGTCTTTTACATCACAAACAGCACTGCCTCAGTATCTTGATCATCTCATCCACCCTCTTAAAATGTCCTTCATCTACATTGACCTTCACAGAACTTATCCATTCTCTAAAATTATCTTAGTTTATTGAGGTGTTTATTAGCTGCTTCCACCTTCGTAGTATAAACTCAACAAGAATCTTGCCTTTTTTTCACCAATGGCTGGGATTATACCCAGGTGGGGTAGTGTCCTAGGGGAAAAATCATCACCAAGTTTTAAAAAAGAAGAAAAATAAAATTTTATTCTGCAGTCAGAAAAGAGGAGAGGTGGGAAGCAACTGATAGCCCTCAAAGCTAGGCCTACACTTTATCAAGAGTCAGTAGAGATTTCAATAGATTAAACTGTAACTTCTGCAGAGGTTTTTGTTCAAAGTTTTGTGATAAAGATAGGATCCATGGAGCCCAGGATTGGAGAGGACAAAGGTGATACTTTCTTTTATTTGCATGCCTTATCCTTGAGGGCCACTCCCTTAAGTCTACCCTCATTATTGTGTGTATATTCCTGCTTCATCTGTTGGCTCCTGCTCCTCCCTGCCTTCCCGGAATGGCAGGGAGACTGCTCAGGGCTACTGTCTCTTTATGATGTCACCTTGGCAGTTTGGTGGTCAGAAAGTGAATGTGGGTACTCAAGAGCACATTAGTACTATTTCAAGGTTTAGGATGAAACTGGGTCTCTGTCAGAGGTGCTTTTGGTTTTAGGCACTAATACAGAAGACACCCAGTAATTATTTTGCATATGTAGGAAAGGTGTGCACTGATATGCACATTGTATTTACCTTGACTTCTGAATGAGTAATCCCACATGGAGTCCAACATTGTAGTTTATATTTTTATTCTAGAGGTGGGAGACGGGCAAGCAGGGAAGTTGGCAGAGGCAGAGGGCAGCCCAAAGGTTATCCCTTAACAGTCAACAAACCTTTGAGGATGACATAGTAACTCTCCCAGCCTCAGTTCTATCATCTGAACAAACCCTGACTTGTTCACTAAAATCTGTGCCTATTGCTGGTGAAGTATGTGATCCACTAATCAGAACCTTAAGAAATCATAAACCAAGAGAGGGTAATAGGGCACTATTATGGAAGATGGACAAAAAATCCACTTACCCCATCCCGAGTTTATGGTTTTTAAGCTTGTATATTTCCCAGTATGTTTGATCTTGTTTTTCTTTCTGGGAAAACAGATGTACAAAGCATCGGCATGGTTGCAGGAGCCGTGACAGGCATGGTGGCTGGAGCCCTGCTGATTTCCCTCTTGGTGTGGCTGCTAATCCGAAGGAAAGACAAAGAGAGATATGAGGAGGAAGACAGACCTAATGAAATCCGGTAAGCCTCCTGCCAAGTCTCCACCTAGACTAGACTTCCTTCTTAGAGCCAACTCCACAGTCATCAGCAAACATGAAAATAAATATCCTGTTTCCTCTTAACTCTGAATGAATCCAGTTATTCTGGGAGGTAGGGAGTACCAGCCCAGATTCAGGTTTACCTTGACCTTATATTGTGAAACTACTCTACATTATTCCCTTGAATTTTATGGGATATACAATTGAAAAACTGGGCACAACCTGTGGCTCATGAAAAGGTTTACGTAGACAAATCTCAAATCAGGGATAGTGCTGTCTGCCCCATCTCAAAAGAGCATGGGTATCTTCTCAGTGTAATAGGTTGGTCTCTGACCTAACAAACTATACATTTGCCAAAGTCAGCATTAAGTCTCCAGGAATGAGGAAGTAGCTATTTGCTTTATTTGCGGTTTCCAGCTAGAGGAATTTATTGAGGCACTTCAGGACAAAGTAGCTACAATGGAAGCTGTTACATTCCTGCCAGCATTCAATGTGATTGTTCTTATCTTTGCTTTTCAGAGAAGATGCTGAAGCTCCTAAAGCTCGCCTGGTGAAACCTAGCTCCTCTTCCTCAGGCTCCAGGAGCTCACGCTCTGGATCTTCTTCTACCCGCTCCACAGCAAATAGTGCCTCCCGGAGTCAGCAGACACTTTCAACTGAAGCAGCACCCCAACCAAGGCGGGCCACCCAAGCACACAGTCTAGAGCGGCCGGAGAGGAGAAGTTCTGGGCAAAAGAAAGCCCACCATGCTACAGTGACCAAAGCAGAAACCGCATCCAACAGGATCCCCAGTCATAGCAGCGCCTTCCATTAGAGTGGACTCACTCCCGTGCTTTCCTCCGAGGTGTCACAGGACTCGTCTGGTCATTGGCGCTCAGTAGTAAGCCACGCAGCCCCTCAGACCAGATACACGGTCATTTAAAGAGCAGTGAACACTGCATGAGATGGATTCAAATGAGCACTTTTCTTCTGTGGCAACAAACAAGCCACAGGATGTAAGGCGATCACCTCCAAAAAGGCCCTCACTGTGCCCTCAGAGCAGAATTGGGGAAAACAAGCCTTCTACCACGTCAGTGTGTTAGCCAGAACCCGTGGTAAGAGGGTTGTAAAATGGAAAGTGAACATAGTTAAAACTTCTCACCTGGAATCAATTCTTGTATGATGCTTTAATTCACTATTGTCAAGAAGAAATGAGGTGTTTGTAAGTTTTCTATGCATTTCTGCAAATCTAATGGATTGCTGTGATTATTCAGATAGTCAAGCAGAACTCACAGCCTTGCAGGACACCTATCCGCACCACGCACTGGGCTTACTGCTTCTGAGAAACTCCGTAAACGAAACCATATCTCTTTTATTTTGACTTGATTTCGCTTGCCACAAGATTTGAAAATTAATTTCAAAGGACGTTGAAATGGTGGGAGATGGAAAAGTTGGATTTTCCTATCTCTATTAAATGCTGAGAATGGAAAAAAGGAAACCAAAATGTATGAGACTGGAGTGTGAAAAACTTTCCATCTTAATGATGTGCAGAGGATCACTGACAAATATCACACATACATTCTGGAACAATTGTGGATTTTCCCTCAAGTATGATGTCTACGAGGACAAGTGCTGGAGATCTCTGGAGGAAGAAAACATTCCACGCATGCCATTTACCAATGTCCTTAGAAAAAGTATTCTAGAGATCAAAGATATCTTTTAGGTATGCTGAAAGATCACCTGATAAACCATTATAGTCTCATTCTTGTAAGAGGTGAAACCAGAATTTCAAGGGACTCGAATAGAAAGGGAGACCAATTTCTCTTAATATGTCAAGGAGTGACAAAGTTTAGCATTACACCACACTTTGAGCTTACTCTAGTTTTTTCATTCAAGGAAAGCAATGTGAATCTGGCACTTCTAAAGACTGTAGCCTTAACTTACCAAAAAGATTCAGGATTATCAATATTTCATAATGGTTTTGCAAATATAATCATTCTCCCGAGAGGCTGAGATATTTTTACAGTCTTCAAGCCTAGCTCTGAACTAGAAGGGAACAAACATTAAGAGTAGAGTTGTTTGTAAGACAACTAGTGGGTGGCAAACGTGAACGGAGCTGGTGCTTATTAACACTTCAGTTGTCAGCATCTTGGAAGAAAATAGCAAAGATGATTCACTAGTATAGCTATATAGAGAGCTGATTCATAGAGCCAAAAGGTGTCTGAAAAATAAACAGCAACAGCCTCAAATACAATAACTTGTCTTTTTAGTTTTGACCACTTTGCTCCTATGGCATGTACAAAACAAACAAGCCCAAACCCATCACTATTGCCTCAATTCTTACTCATAGTCACCCCATGTGACACAGGAGAACTGTGCCATAAGATCTTCAAGGCTGTGCCTCCTTTTCGAAGCAGGCTGTCCCATCCCCCCACCCCAACCAACCACCACTCCTCAGTGGCTGGTGGGTTTGAACCACTAGCTTTTTACTTAGTATTCAAGTACTTAACCACACCACCACTGGGGCTCCCTCATGTCATGGGTGCTGGGCCTGAACCAGCTCTTCAATGACTCTTGGTCAGATGTCAACTGATAACCTCAGGAGAACAGGATATTGCTTATGATTAAAAGGAAAGTGGGCTAGAGGGAAGAATGCTGAAAACGATTGACATATGCAGTGCTTTTGAAATGGGTATCAGACATTAAAGGAATAAAGCTAAACTGGGACTTTGTGTCGTTTCATTCTTTTAATTTTCACAGGAGTACCCTCACATAGTGCAAATGTATTTCCATTGAAGGTCCCTTAAAAACAGGGTTTTATTCTGGGGTGAAAGTTTTAATTGGAGTGTTATCTTCCTCCAAAAATGGTGGGGAATAAGAGCCACTGAGGAAGTAACAAATAATGTTATTACTATTAGTTTTATTTTAGATGTCTAGCACATTTGGAAAGGGTCTTTTAACAACACTGCCTCATTTTAAGATGTAGAACCTTACACTCAGACAAATGCTTCTCGCAGTGTGGTCCGAGCAACATACCAGTTCTGCTATGTCATTCTGAGAATGTTTATGCCTAAGGTATGTGAGCCAACACAATGTGCATTCTAACAGCTGAGGCATCACTAACAATTTGCTCTTACTATTACTTACCACCTATGAACATAAGGTTTCCCACTTTTGCTTTTGAAAGCAAGAATCGGTTCCCTTTGCATGAAAAAGGTTCAGATTATTTTAAATGTTAATTAGAAGACTAAAACACCGACTGAATGTCCATTCCTCATTATTTTGAAAATCTATTCATACTGGATATCTATAGCAAGTTCACAAAAGCAGAGAAATTCTAAGGTAAAAAGACGGAGAGATCTCTGAGTTAGGTGTTTTGGCTCAGCAAAAGTTGAGGGCCATTATTGGTTTCAATTCTATTGACTTTACAGGTCAAATAAAATTCATTCTTTAATATGGAAGAAACAAAAATACAGTTAGTAAAGGGTGGGAGAATTTCTGTCAGAAGATGATGCAGATGGAATGATGTGGATGTTGTGAGAACAGTCATTCAATAAAATATATAAATCAAAAAATTTTGTAGAAGAATAAAATTGATGCCTTTATTGTTACTATATCAAATTTCAGAAATGCTGTTTGCAAGCAGTGCAGATAATTTTGCTTCAATTCTGGTGTTAGGCTGTTTATATTGCAGTTTTAACTTTGTTGCTTTCTACTGGGCACTGTGAGCAATAAAACAAAATTAAAAATAATGATACTTTAGGAGAGACTGAAACTCACATAACCTGCACTGGAAATTTGTCTATCAGTTTGCTGCCGGCCAAAGAACAGAAGAACCCAGACAATATGATCTGTTATTTATTGACTGAAGTCAACATATATACCAAGTCCTTTTTTACCTTTAAGCCCTTCCCCCCCCACCCCCGCACACAAAGCAAAATGCTAAGTAGTATAAGAATACCAAATGATTAGCTACTGCACTTAAGCAGCTATTCAAAGTAACAAGTTATTTACCAAGCATTTTATACCCAAAAAGTACTTACTAAAGATGCAAAGAAATCTGAAAATACTGATGTCCATCTTAATTTTATGAAGCTTCAAAAGGTTTCTGGAAAAATAGAATTAAAATATAATTTTTCTTTTTTTTAAATTTAAAATATAATTTTTCTGTGAACATTTTGAAGCCCCCTTGTATAATAGCAATACTACTAATGACCATTTACCAAACCATTAGCATGTTGTATTGTTAGGTGCTAAGAAGTGAGTTCAGAAGGAAATAACGCCTCGCCCATCTTCATAAATCATTGCCATAGATTTGAGCCCACTAATAAAGCCACTGTGTCAATCCCTCCCTTTACCAAGCACGAGGTGCTCCAGGGAGACTGCTCCCTTCTGCTTACATGTCAAAAGTATGCGAGATGATGTTTTATCAGCATTGCTTTTTAAGGAGCATTCTGGCTGTACTTCTAACACAGATTTGCCCATTTTTCTGGCTGTTGATGGTATATTCAACTCCCGTCTTTCTTACTCATTGTCCAGTTTTCACAAGCATATGAAGCAAAAAACTAACAGCTGCCCCATACATGAACTACACACTCCTTGAGCCCTCACTATGTTGTTTCTTGATTGCTACTTCCATGGGTGTTGCCTATAGAACCAAGTAAAACTAAATTCTTGATGTATTTTCTCATTTATCATAATGTCCCTTGTTGGTTCAGCTATGAGAATTTCTGTTTGGTAAGTGCAATACCTACTGAAGGTAGTGGTATTTGATCTTCATCAGCAAGTGCTTCAAGTCCTCTTCACTTTCAGTACACAGAATATCTTTTGCATACTGCAGGTTGTTCATGAATCTTCCTCTAATTCTGACCGCATATTCTTCATAGTCTAGATTTTATGATCAATTGCTCAGCATACTGATTGAATTAGTATGGTGAAGCACACCTTCCCTGCTTATTTATTTTTAACCTTTCCTGTTTTAAAGCCATGCAGAACTGCCTTTTGTTTAAATTTCTATTCTTTGCATGTTATCCATAATTTGTTTGGATTCATAGTTGAATGCCTTTTCAGTGTCAATAATACACAGGTAAATAACATCCTGGTATTCTCTGCTTTCAGCCATCTTCTCACATCAGCAATTCCGTTCCAAGCCCTCTTGAATTTCTGGCAGTTTCCTATGTACTGCTACAACCATTTAAAAAATCCTCTTCAGCATAATTTTATTTATATATGATATGAATAATATTTTTCAAAACTTGTTGGGTCACTTCTTAGAAATAGGCACAGATATATTAATTTTTCCCATTGGTTGGGCAGGTGGATGTCTTCTAAATGTCGACATAAAATGATTTATATAACATCCATTTGTTGAAGCATTTCCACTGGTATTCCTCCAATTCCTGGAGCCTTTTCTTTTTAACCAAAGCCTTTATTGCTGTTTGGCCTACTTCCCTGCGTACCATTGCTTCTTGATCATATACTACCTATGACATGACAATGACTTTTGACTTTATTTTGGTAAAGCTACTTCACTAATTATATATTTTATTCCAATTCAATATTCACATGCCATCTTATAAGAAAATATCTCCATTCTTATTAGACAAATGAGGATAAGTAGCAGAGGCAGGATTCAAAACTAGCCACTGGCTGTTTCACCAGAAATATCAGATCATGTTTAATCACGGTTGTGATTACTGAACTCGTCTAAGCTTACTACTAAACTACTTTTCCCTCCCTTTGCTTTCTTCCTTGCCTTACAGTTTTTCAGGTGGTGGAAACTCACTGCCATCTAGGCAACGCTGACTCATAGTGACCCGCTGTGGGTTTCTGAGATTCAGTTTGTGGGAGTAGAAAGCCAGTGAAGCTGCTGGTTGTTTCACACTGCTGACCATGTGGATCACAGCCTCACACGTAACCACCATACCACTGGGCCTCTAGTCAGGTAGGGCAGTGAGTTATTAATTGGACAAGCAGTTTGAACCTACCAGCTGCTCTGAAGAAGAAAGTTGAAGCTTTCTGCTCCCATAAAGATTTATAGCCTCAGAAAAATCCAAAGCAGCAGCTCTACTCTGGCCTAGCGGAGTCAACATCTACTTGATGGCATTGAGCAGCACACTTAACTCACACTATAAATCCAAAGTGTTTTCTCTGAAAATTAAATGGATAAAGTGTTCATCTGTGAAAATTTGCCTGAGATGTTTTTACATGGAAAAGTAACACTAGACTTAGATCATATAACGCATATAACTATTGCTGAATGTAGCACCAAGCACAGTGAACACAAGGTTAAAGAGATTTAATGCCTGGTTTCCAGGAAGACAAAAAGATAAACTATATTGAGAATATTAAATAATGAATACAGTTGATTCTCCAGTTGTAAGAGCATATCCTGAGCTCCTAATAAAATGCTAAAAAAAAAAAAAAAAAAGAGCATATCCATTTATTAAAAATGTTTCTAGAAAAAATAAAAATGTTTCTAGAACTTAAGCATTTGTTTGGGGGAGGAAAATAGAGCCCAAATTAAAATATAATTGATAGAGATACATTTGTAAGCCTTAAACAGGCAAAGACAAATGAGGGAAGGCCTCCAGCACCAGGCCATACCAGTGTTGTTCAAGGGTTTACAGCCACGCAGCTACTTCAGTAAGACATGGAGAACAAAGGAAACTGTCACAGTATCATGACTGGAGGCAGATCAATTCATCACAGCTGCAGAGTGTACTACACAAGGAGGAAAGGGGCCAGAAATTGGGGTACATATACAACCCTGGGGAGATTTTAAGATTGTTTGGAGCACTCTTGTTTCACAATGGCACAGCAGTAGAACATATGAATCTTAGTTCTTTCTTACTTTGGCCTAACCATTTTAGGGTCTCCTTCCCTTTCCCCCTGCTGGGGAAAGTTGGTGCCTCTAACTAGCAACTACACAAAGACAGACTGTTCTCTCACCGCCAAGGAATCAATGCCAACAATAGCTTACCCCCACTGTGAGTTTCCGAGACTGTAACTGATTAGGGAGCAGAGGAGCTGCTGGTGGTTCCAACTGCTGACCAGGTGGATTACAACCCAAGTAATCACACCAGCAGGGCTCCTAGTTGCCCTACACTGGATCCCACCCCCTGCAAAAAAGCAACGCACTGCCATCTAGTGGGATTCTGACTCGTAGTGACCCTATAGGACAGGGTAGAGCTGCCCTGTGGATTTCTGATACTTACTCTTCACAGGAGTAGAAAGTCTCATCTTTCTCCTGATGTGGACCCCATGTGTCTCAAAAGAAAATTGGCTTCGACTGGGTTTTCATGGTTGTGACTTTGGAAGATGACTATCAGGCCTTCCTTGAGAGGTGCCTCTGATTGGGTCTGAACCAACCAACAACCTTTCTGCTACACCAGTGCTTAAGCCTTGGTGGGGCTCAGGGAACTCTTGGGCTGAGTCCCCTTTAGTAGTTGATGGGTTTGAGATGGTTTTGCAAAATCTAATAAAACACCTTAGTCCTCTGATAATCAGAATAAGAACACCCATCATAGAAAATATTAGGTGCGTTCCATGCTATTTCATGTAATCTTTACAACAACCAGGGCATACTGCTTTTACAGAAAGGAAAATTGAGGAGATCAAGATCAAAAAGCCAAAAAAAAATAAAATAAATAAATAACAGGAGACAAACCAACAGCCACTGAATGGATTCCAACTCAGAGTGAACCTATACTGGGTTTCTGTGACTATAATCTCTATGGTAGCAGACATGTGCCTTTCTCCTAAGGAGCAACTGGTGGGTTTGAACCTCCTATGGTTAGCAGTCCAAAGCCTGACCCACAGCACCACCAAGGTGCCTAGTTGAAGGTCATGAATCTAGTACATGACTTGAATTTCAATTCAAGTCTGATTTCAACCAAAGTCCATGTTCTTTCCACTCTACCAAGAAACAAAAGTAGACTTTAATACTGAGGATGGGACTCCAAAGGCAGATCACACAGAGAATTTAAGGATTATGAAATACTTATCCAAGCTACATAGGAGCCCTGGTGGTGTAGTGGTTACGTGTTGGGCTGCAAATTGCAAGGTCAGCAGTTTGAAACCACCCACTGCTCTACAGGAAAAAGATGAAACTTTCTTCTCTCTCTGAAGAGTTAAGTTTTGGGATACCCACTGAGGCAGTTCTACTGTGTTCTAGAGTCGCCAAGAGTCAAAATTGACTGGATCAGAGTGAATAAATAACAGTTAAACAATTCAATCTTTAATTTGATATAACCTAGACTACAAGTGATGTTGGAAATAGCAAGCAAAAATCGCTTTAAGTGCACACACTGCAGCCAGAATGCCTCAATCTGATTCTCAGGTTCCACAATTGCTGTGGCTTGGCTAGTCATTTAACTTTTCTGTGCTGTTTCATTTACAAAATGAGGATGTTAGTTAGCAACAGACTTCAGAGATTTGTGCAGACTTCAATGAAGTAAAATGCAAATCACCTAGACCAGTGGTAGAACTCCAGAAGGTTGATCATTACCCTAATATTCCCCAGCAGAAGCCCCAGGCTATTTCCACACAGTCCAACACCCAAATTTTAATTTTAGATCGTAAATAAACATGCTATTAAAAACCGTGTTTCAAAGGGTGGGGACAAGCCATTCATCAGATTCTGCGATCTTTAAATATACCAACCATGAATCTTTAATCTCATAAAACCTAGACACATTTAATAAGCATAGTCCAAATCCTAGAACACATTTTCAAAGTGACTAGAAACAGAGGTAGGTTATTTGTTCCCTATTGGGGTGGGACCTTGGAAATCAGGGATTATCAAGATCTTTGTAACACTTCAGGATTTGAGGCCTAATTCTATATACTGGCTCAAAGATCAAAATGTTGTTTGCAGTTCAAGAGGTCACAAAAGAGCAAGCTATAAGGTGTAATAGTTGACAACCTATATTTGACAAGGTGAGACTTCAGGCTCTTGGGTAAGGAAGATTAGAGACATCAGAGAAGATTGAAAGGAGCCTCCCACAGTCCACACCTTCTTTCTAGAGCAGCAGTTCTCAACCTGTGGCTCTCGACCCCTTTGGGGGTCAAACGACCCCTTCGCAGGGTCGCCTGATTCAAAACAGGGTTCACCACACATGAGGAACTGTATTAAAGGGTCGCCGCATTAGGAAGGTTGAGAACCACTGTTGTAGAGTTGCCGTTGGATGTTTCTAGAAAGAAAACTGTATTATAATATACTAGAGACCAAAGAATCAAAAATCATGAGAATATCTGAGCTTCATTTTTCTCCTAATACAAAGATGAATAACATATAGTTCTGAAAACTGTTTTGATATAACAATACAAACCCAAAATCTCCACTGCCGTGGAATCTGACTCACAGCAATCCTACTGGGCAGAGAACTGCTACCCACGGTTTCCTAGACCGTATCATTAACACACAGCTGGTGGGTTTGAACTAAAGACATTTCCTTTAGTGGCTGGATGCTTAACCCTTTACACTAAGCCACCTGAACT